GTTTTTCAAAATAGTCTATCTTAATAGAAAAATGACTTCCATCTTCACAGATGATTTTCATGTCAATACTCTGTAAGTACAAATAGGATTGTGAAGTCCATTAAGTCCTAAAGAATAGAGGGAGAAGATCCTTAGCCTTTGGCCATGGCTTTCTGGACTGCAGGGTTAGGCCATTGAGGGTACGGGTGACCTGTAAGTTGACCTGTAAATCCCTTTGGCAACAGACCGCATCATGAGATTTGATTGGGCTTGATGGGTCCCTCTATTTGGCTGTCTTGTACTCATGTAGCTCACCCAGTCACACTTTTAATCTTTACACTAGGTCATGGCCTTCAGAGAAGGCGTCAGTGTAGATATTTACACATTAGAGATCGATTTAACATCTGAGCTTAAACATAACCTTTGAATGTATGAATTCCTGTCAAACCAGCTATTCCTCAACTTCCAGTGGTAGCTATGGACTTAGGACCCAGCATCTGCCACTACGGGCAACTTTAAAAGTGAAACAATTTCTCTTCACAGCCTATTATTTCATAAAACTGATTTACAGCCTAGTCCAATTTCTGAATAGAACACAGGGCTCCTGGGAAAAGAAATTATCAGAGATACAAAAGGTTACTTAAAGAAAAGTTACTTAACAAATTAGAAGCAAATTGGTAATCTTTAAAAATTAAGAAATTGGAAAGAACCAGTGTGAGATTTTTGTGTATTTCCCAGATTTTCATTTATTAATAAGTATATCTGTATATAGGAGTCCTGTTGTGGCACTGCAGGATAGGCACTGGGCTGCTAATTACAAGGATGGCAGTTCAAACCCACTAGCCACTCCTTGGAAACCTTATCACTATGAATAGACCTGATGACATTTAGTAACAACAACATTCACATATATATATATACACATACATACCACATTAAAATCAACAAGAGAAAACATTTTGTTATGTATCAAGCTTCATGAAGTTTTCTTAAAAATATATTAAAGCTTGTTTATTTCTTATGATTAAACGAACTCCTTATGAAAGTGAACAAATTAAGAGATCATGACTGGTATTGACAAAAATGCCAAATGGAACAAAGGGTTCTGCATAAAAACATTATTGTGAATGCATTACACCTAGAAGAGCATGGTGTTTAAGTATTGGAAAACCCTATGGTCTCCCTCACTTTTTGATTTCTGTAATCCTGTCTTCCATGATTTCAGGAGCCTTCAGTTAGAAGTAGATACATGCCACATACCTAAAGCTTTTTTTTGTACTATGCTCAATTTACCATGGGTGTATTTTAATATTGTATAAAAATATGCGTGAATGACTCATACACGTGGATACATACGTATTTGACAAGTGGTGGTAAAAATATAAAACAAAAACCAAATTTGGCTTGTCTTGTTGAAATGTCAGTACATTTTGTACCACTAACACTGTGATGTATAAAGGAGCTGTTCGAATGCCTTTGAATGTTCTGCTTTGTACTTTGGAATCATATGGAAAAGTTTGATTTGTAAATCTAATACATATTTTAAATGTCTTGTGTCTTATGTAGTTTGTTCCCCTTTTAGAAGGGATTTCTTTTTAAAGATATTTTGACTGGAATACAGGTTACTTTTATAAAAACAAAACAAAAACAGTACCATAGCATGGCCTGCCAGAAGAGCAAACTGTGTTGGAAGGCGTACAGCCAGAATGCTCCTTAGAAACCAGGATTGAAGGCTGAAGTGAGACTTCGCCTCTCATAATTTGGGCATATTATCAGAAGCGATCTGTCTGTAGAGAAGGACATCATGCTTGGTAAAGTGGAGGGTCAGTGAAGAAGAGGAAGACCCCCCAATAAGATGAAATAACACAATGGTAGCAACAATGGTCTCAAGAGTAACAATCATTGGGAGGCTGAGGCAGGACCGAGCTGTGTTTTGTTTTGTTGTGCATAGGGAAGGTATGTTTCAGAACCAACTAGATGTCACCTAACAACAACAACATAGGAGTGATGCTATCCTCTTAAAACAAACCTCAGATGTGATGTGAAACTTGAACAACGAGGTCATGAAGGGACAGGGCCCCAGACCAGCTTCACAATTCCAGTGAGCAGCCTCAGACAGTTTCTGGGCTCTTACTCTTTCCAGAAACTTTCAGGCCTTGTTGTTGTTAAGTGCTGTTAAGTCGATTCTGACCCTTAGTGCCCCTGTATAGGGTTTCTGAGGAGCAGCTGGTGAGCTTGAACTGCCTTAGAGAACACAAGAGAATAGTGCCCTGTGTTGCCAAAGGCAGGGTATAAGTTTTCAGTGCACTTAACAACAACAACAAGGGATCAGTGGAAAAGCTGTTTTGTTCCTGATTTATCCCAATCAAATTAAAGAACAATTCCCAAAAGTACCTTGGGGCTATGGAATACTGAACTGGAGACTGGATTGTACCTACCCACTTGCAATTTTACCTTCTCCTGAGGGGCTTGCTGCTAGAGAAAGTGTGCAGTGACCCAGAAATCCCTGCCTACAGACTGCGTTATGGCTTCCTGGATAACTGGGCATTACTAACTGGCTGCACTAGTTCATTTTAACAAGTTATCAGTTAAAGAAGAGTGCCTTCTTTCAAGATGTTTCAGAACAAGATACTTATTAGAACACAATAACATAAATATGCCAAACTAAAGGATGCGGGTGTTCTTTCTAGAGAGGTTTTAGCTGGCTCGGGGTCAATTAGGGCCACTACTGGATGCCCAAGGAGCGCTATCTTGTTAATGGAGATTCCCACTGAGTCACTTTCTGAAGTTCCTTTCCAGAAAGGAAGTTAAAATCATGCAATTAAAATGTTCACAGTTGGGGCTGGATGTTCTTGAACTGATTAAGAGATGAAGAAGTGGACATGCCAACATTTCGAAACAGCAACTGTCTCCATAATTAAATGCAATTAATTGTCATAGCTGCCTGCTTTCCTCCAGCTAGGATTGATTGAAACACTAAGACTTTAAAAAGTACGCCTTCCCCATCTGATTTCTCTTTCCATTCTAACCAAAATTCTCACCAATAAGAGAAAACTGCAAAGGTGATGATTTGACATATCAAATCATACCAGTGCTATAGGGTGAGGGTTTCAAGAGAGTTGAGGGACATATTTGAGAAAACAGAGCTCCAGGCTGTCCAAAATACATCATTTTTCCTAAGCCCAAATGTCACATAATTTCCATATGTCAGAAATTAGACCTGACAGTTTTTCCTGGCTAACCTCTCAGAATGACACATTTATTGCTATCGATAACCAACATGTAAATTCTATAAAGCCCCCAAACCAAACCTACTGCCATTGAGTCTATTCCAACCCATAGTGACCCTATAAAACAGTAAAATTGTTCATTAGGATTTCCAAGAGACAGCCTCGTCTTTCTGCCAGAGACCTAGGGTTTGAACCACCAACTTTGTAGTTAGCAGCTCAATGCTTAACCCACAACACCACTGAGGCTTCTTTGTAGACTCTATGTTGTTAGATGCCATCAAGTCAGTTCCAACTCATAGCAACCCTTTGCAGGTTTCCAAGACTGTAAATCTTTCCAGGAGCAGAGAGCCTCAGGGTTCTCCCTTGGAGCTGCTGTAGATCTGAACCACCAACAGTGCTTATCCTACAGCGACACCTGCACTCCCCTGTAGATTCCATAGGTTAAAAAGTCCATCCGTCTTTTAAAAAAAAAAAATGCTTTTCTAGTTATTATAAATTCTGGAAAATGCTGAAAGAATAGTCTCACCTTGTTATTGTTGTTGTTAGGTGCCATAGAGTCGGTACTGACTCATAGCAACCTTATGCACAACAGAACAAAACACTGCCCGATCCTGGGCCAACCTCACTATTATTGCCGCGCTTGAGCCCATTGGTACTGTCACTTGGTCAATCCATCTTACTGGGGACCTTCCTTTTTTTTCTCTGACCCTCCACCTTACCAAACATGATATCCTTCTCCAGAGACTGGTCCCTCCTGACAACATGTCCAAAGTATGAGAGACGAAGTCTGGCTATCTTGGCCTCCAAGGAGCACTCTGGCTGCACTTCTTCCAACACAGATCTATTGGTTCTTTTGGCAGTCCATGGCACTTTCAATATTCTCCTCCAACACCACAATTCAAAAGCATCAATTCTTCTATGGCCTTCCTTATTCACTGTCCAGCTTTCTCATGCATATAAGGTTATTGAAAATACCATGGCTTGGGCCAGGCACACCTTAGTCTTCAAGCTGACATCTTTACTCTTCAACACTTTAAAAAGGTCTTGTGAAGCAGATTTGCCTAATGCAATGCGTCATTTGATTTCTTGACTGCTGCGTCCATGAGTGTTGATAGTTGATCCAAGAAGAATGAAGTCCTTGACAAGTTCAATCTTTCCTCCATTGATAAGAATGTTGTTTATTGGTCCAGTGGTGAGGATTTTTATTTTCTTTACATTGAGATGCAATCCATACTGAAGGCTGTGCTCTTTGACATTCATCAGTAAGTATTTTAAGCCCTCTTCACTTTCAGCAAACAAGATTTTATCATCTGTATATCACAGGTCTCTTTTTGCAAAATCTCCTTGGATTTCTGTTTTTTTCTTCCTAGAAAACTTTCTTTCTTTTAAGTGGAATCCTCTAAGCCAAAGCCTGTCAAATTGCCTTCAAGAAATATGAACAATTTTTATTTACATCAGCAGGGTTAGAAACTGTCCAACCCCCTAAGTCCCCTCCTGAATCTTATAGAGTGTTGTTCCCATAAGATTGAGCTTTTGGAATACCCAAAAAGTTCTTTTCTAGAGAAGGCTCATTTGTTAACAGAGTGTGGGTCTGGTGGTAAATCTCAGGTGAAACCTGATTTGTTCAGCCCCTGGGTGTCCCCCTCTACCAACTGGGGTGTCTAGAGCAGCTGAGGTTGCCTGTAAACAGCTGGACAGCAGCCTAGCGGCTCTCATGGGTGAGGACCTCTGCATATTGGACAGTCTATTCCCATCTCACACCCACCTGCCCCCACACCCTCACCTTTTCAGCTGTGTTGACTGAAGATGGCCATGAAGTCATCTTAGAGAAGATAGATGACTGGAGTGTTGTTGAGCTGGTGGTGAATGGAGAAGTCGTCTTCCACTGCAAAATCAAAGACCTGGAATTCGGTAAGCCTGTCACCAAGGTTTCCAACTAGCAATTTGTCTTCCCTAGGAAGAAATTTCCCATGTCAATTTCTCCTTGACATGGTCAGGGACTCATACCCAATTCATATCAGACTTCTTACTAAATTTCTGTGCTCCGCGGTACATGAATACATAGTAAAATGCTTCTAATTCTGGGGAGTTTTTCCCCCAGGACACTGGGAACAGAAGAGGGAGCAGCAAGAAAATAAATTTTCACCCCATACTTCAAATGATAGGATGGGGATTTAGGGTTAATAGAGTCTTTTTCTTTTTTTAATTTAATAATATGTTTGCCTTCAAAACAGTTTTTGTAGTATTTTATTTTTATATCTAGGATTGCTAGGAAAAAGAAAGTCAACAGGACAGTAACATGTGCCATTATCTTTAATATGCTCGGAGTTTCCTGCTCTGCCCTGTTGAACCTTTGGCTTGGTGGGCTGGCACTACACAGGGATCCCTGTGCTCAGTTCACCAATTGTGCAATCCACTTAATTTTTATTAAATGCTAGTTAATATTCCACATGCTGTGGCCTTGGCAAGTACACTCCTGGTGAGAGCTGTTGGTCTAATGTGGCATCAAATTCTATAGGAAGCTGACCAAAATAAAATTAGCTGTATTGCCCTACGAGTCCCTGGATGGTGTAAATTTTGAAGTGCTGAGCTACTAACCAATTTGAATACACTCAGCAATTTGAATACATTCAGTGGCACCTCGGAACAAACACCTGGAGAGCTACTTCCTAAAGATGGTAGTCACTGAAAACCAGTTAGAGCACAGTACTGATCTGATACATACGGGGTCACCATGACTTGGAATCAACTCAGTGGCCAATGACTTGGTTTTATATATTGTATTTTATTTTTCGTCCTTTTTTTTTAGGAGGAGATGGTAAACTGGACCCATTGTGTGAAGAGGCCAGGAGAGCTGTGATGAATGCCTACTAATCTCCTTGTCAGCATTCATCTCAGGGCAACTGCCTTCTGTCATTCTGTGAGGCAGGAGAGTGTGATCTTGAGAAGGCCAGGCCAGTCAGAACACAACTCCCCAAGCCCGCCCTGCAGCCTGCGTGGTACTAGGTTTTTGCCTGCCTGCAGGGAAGCAGGGGCCCGCACAAATAATAAAACAGCATTGGTAGCATCTCTCGATCTGGACCCATAGGGAGAGTTCTTCAATATCAGGTACCTACTGAGCTGAAAACAATAATAAAATGCAATCTAATAACAAAACACCATCCCTTACTAATAATGAGTAGTTGCCAGAAGCATTGGCAACTGTATTCTATAGGAAGCAAAGAGCAAGGAACAGATGAAATTAAAAAGGGGGGTGGGGTTGGGCAGGACTGGAGAATGTAGGCCTTTGAAAATCTGAACTGAAGTTAATGTCAGTATTTGGAAACTTGACTGTTTCTACAAATTTATGTCTTGCTCTTAGAAAGTAGATATTTTGAATTGCTGATATAAACTTAACAGAAGCCAAAACCTAAGTTATTGTAATTTAAAACAAAATAACCTGCCTTCTTTTTCATTAATCAGCCCAATTGGGTGTCCTCAGGAAGCCAGGAGAGGGCATAAAATGGCTTCCCTGTGTCATGAAAGAAGACAAAGCTCTGCAGATTTAGAGAAAGGTTCTATTTATGGTCATTGTAAAACTGAGCCACATCAAGATGAGATTATTTTTCTTTCAGTTCCTGGGCACCAAACTGTAGTATATAGTCTCAAGGAGAAGGAGCCCTGGTCATTGGCATCACTAGCGTGAGTTCCCCTCTCCACCACAGACCTTCTCCCATAACAGACCGTACAGAACCCTTAGGGATGTTTATTATCAAAGTTCATCTTAGAGTGAAAGAGGTGACAAGTAGAGCTTCAATTAATTGCTTGAATGTAATATTTTTTAGGTCCCAACAACCAAATTATTTTGTAAAGTCTTTCTCCATGGAAGTATAACATTATTAATTGCAACATTATTAGTAACTGAACAGAAGCTTTATTTAATTTTTCACCTTTTCCTTTACTTAAGGGGTCTTGGTGGCATTGTGAGTTAAGCATGGACTGCTAACCAAAAGGTCAGCGGTTCAGATTTACCAGCTACTCCACAGGAGAGAGATGAGGCTGTCTGCTCCCATAAACATTTACTGGCTTGGAAACCCTAAGGCAAAGTTCTACTTGGGTCTGTATAGAGTCACCAAGAGTCCGAACAACTTGATGGCAGTGAGGTTGGGGGTTGATTGGTTTCATTCAATTACTACTTCGTTTTCACAAAAGTTATTTCCCCAGGTTCACAAATACTAATTATCACAATATTGTAGCTAAAACACCAGGAAATCTGACAAAATCCATGACTATAAAAACACCCACAGCAATGAAAACAACTTCTCAAGCTAGCAGTGCATGCAGATGAGGCCATGTGACTCGAAGCACGTGGGTAATTGAGTAGTAATGACAGCTATGACCAGAGTGTACTGTTTCGGCTTTTGTTGTTAAACGCCCTCAAGTTTGTTCCAATTCATAGTCATCCTGCATAGGGTTTCAGAAGAGTAGCTGGCAGGTTTGAACCACCAGGCTTGAGGTTAAAAATCCAGTGCTTATCTTATAGTGCCACACCAGAACTCCTATAAACTAACTACAGGTGTATTTTTATAAAAATAATAAATTTCTGCTGCAACTGCACAAAAACTTTATAGACAGTCATTTTGGTGTTACCTCCCCTGACAGTGTCACTTGGTACAGTCTGCACCCCCTCCCGACCCCTTTCCTCGTGATGCCACTGAGCCCAGGTCAGCAAAAAGATTAACCAAAAGATTGGTGTTCTGCACCCAGCAGCCACCCTGTGTGAAAAAGACCTCCCTTAAAGATTGCAGCCTAGGAAACCCTATGGGGCAGTTCTACTCTGTCACATTCTGTTGGTATGAGTCTAAATCGATTCAATGGTACCCAAAAAGAACTGGGGATGAATGCAGATGTGAACCAAATGTTGTTAAATGTGAATTCTTGGTAAGACAGCATCACAGCTTTTAGAAGAAAAATGGATTCCTTAACAAGAGACTTCTAGAAGCCCACATGAAAAGAGGATCTGTCAGAGTTTTCAGAAATATTCCTCAAGAAGGTGGCCTGCAAGGTCCATGCCCCTCACTCTCCTGATGAGGAATTCTTTCCACTGCACCGATCCTTCCAAGGCCTCCTTTGCCCCAGAATTTAGAAGTCACAGTGACTCCACAAATGTCCTTGTACAAGTTCTTTCTTTCACGAGAGGACATAACCCAAACACCCCAGCCAGGCTTTACCTGTAAGATTTGAATCACCGATTTAAAATCACTTAGGGTTTATTGGAAATATACTTAATCATCATTACTGAGCAACTGAAACGAATAAAAATTTTCTTCTCACCATGGTGCTGGTTCCATGCATCTCTGTTGTTATTGTTAAATGCCGTCAAGTCAGTTCCAAATCCTAGAGACCCTGTTTAGGGTTTCTGAGGAGCGGCTGGTGGATTTGAACTGTCCTCCTTGCAGTGTCAATAAAGTACAATAAAGCACTGGACCACAAGGTCAGTTTGAACTGCAGGGTTGGCAGTTCAAACCCACCAGCCACTCCTCGGAAACCCTATACAGGGTCACTATGAGTTGGAACTGACTCAATGGCACTTAACAACAATATGTGTCGCAAGTAACCTTAAATTTACTCATCTTTTCTGAAAGCTCACTATGGATAGAGCATACTATCTTAATATAAAATTTTTATTATGAGAAATACCTTTTATTAAAGAAAAATGGAAAAATGCATGTTAAGGATAACAGATGAAATTCAGATCCATAACAGTTGATATTACATGGAATCCAAATTGTAGACTACTTGATTAAAGTAAAAGGGTTGATCCAGAGTTCAGTCTCCTACCCTTCTTAACTTCTTGCTGACAAGTTGTACACAGATCCAAGACTGTAAGTAAGGAATGTTTGCCCTGTGGTTAATCATGATTGAAGGCAACAGCAAGTCACAGGCATATTCTGTTAAGGCTTTTTATTCTTTTTAGCATGAAAACATCTTCTTGAGTTCTTACAGTAGTAGTTTTCATATTCTCATGCAATATTTGTCCCTTTGTGATTGACTAATTTCATTCAGCATAATGTTCTTCAGGTTCATCCATGTTAGGTGGTGTTTCGCAGATTCATCATTATTCTTCAACGTTGCATAGTAGTCCATTGTGTGTATGTACCAAAGTTTGTTTACTCGTTCTTCCATTGAAGGGTATTTAGGTTGTCTCCATATTTTTGCTATTGTGAACAGTGTTGCAATGAACATGGGTGTTCATATATCTATTTATGTTCCAGCTCGTATTTCTTGTGGCTATATACCAAGTAGAGGAATTGCTGTATCATAAGATATTTCTATTTCCAATTTTCTGAGGCAGCGCCATACTGTTTTCCACAGTGGTTGAAATTTCACAGTCCCACTAGAAGTGGAGAAGATTCCTAGTATACACACTCTTATCAACATTTGTTGTTTTCTATTTTTTTGAACTTTGCTATTAATGCTGGTCAAACCTTGTTGTTATTAATGCTGGTCAACCTTGTTGTTATTAATGCTGGTCAAACCTTGTTGTTATTAATGCTGGTCAAACCTTGTTGTTATTAATGCTGGTCAACCTTGTTGTTTTGATTTGTTCTCTCTAATGGATTTGATGGAGCCCGGGTGTGACGCTCTGGGTTAATGTGCTGGACTACAAAGTCAGTTTGAACTGCAAGGTTGGTGGTTCTAGCTCACCAGCCACTCCTCAGAAACCCTGTATAAATTTGCTATGAGTCCAAACTGATGCAACAGGACTTAACAACAATGACTTTATGGCACTGAAAAACAACAATGGACTCCTCATGTGACACTATAGGATCCATACTGGACTTTGAACCAAAAGGTCTGCAGTTAAAGCCCACCAACTACTCCTCAGAAACCCTGTACAGGGTTGCTATGAGTAGGAACTGACTCGATGGCACTTAATTACTAACTAGTAATGGCTAATGATCATGAACATTTCTTCATATGTTTGTTAGCTGCCTGAATGTCTTTCATGGTAAAGCATCTGTTCATATCCTCATGGCCTGTGTATTAGGGCTTTCATATATATATGCAGATTGCTATCACAACTTATTGTGTAGAAGGCTTCCAAGCAATATAGAAGGACATTCTATATTTTGGGGTGCTTGACATAATTTAAATGGCTTATACAAAGTTTGACTTGAACTTCATTTGCCCTAGGTAAACAAAGGGAGAATAGTTTTCCATCAGGAAGAATGTTTGTAGTTAGGTGCCATCAAGTGAGTTCTGGCACATAGCGACCCTATACACAGCAGAGGCCACACTCACAATTGTTACATTCATGCCCACTGTCATCATATCCTGTGCCGATGTAACACTTTGGGTGTCTTCCTCTTTTACATTGACCCTCAACTTTACCAAGCGTCATGCCCTTCTTTAGGGACTGGCCCCTTCTGATAACATGTCCAAAGTATGAGAAATGGACCATTCTGTGTATATTTCTTCCAACACAGATTTTTGTTTGTTTGTTTGTCCTTCTGGAAATCCATACTACTTTTAATATTCTTCTACAACACTGTAATGCAAATGTATCAATTCTTCTACAGTCTTCCTTATTCATTGTCCAACTTTCACATGCATATAAGGAGATTGAAAATACCATAGCTTGGGTCAGGTGCACATTAGTCCTCAAACTGATAACTTTGCTCTTGAACACTTCAAAGAGGTCTTTTGCAGCAGATTTGCCTAATACATTACATCGCTTGATTTCCTGACTGCTGCTTCCATGAGTTATTGATTGTTGATCCAAGCAAAATGAAGTCTTTGAAAACATCAATCTTCCCCCATTTATCATGATGTTATTTATTTGTCCAGTTGTGAGGATTTCTGTTTACTTTACATTGGGGTGGAATCCATAC